CTCTTCTTCATCAACATGTTGTCCCTCTTCCTTCATGTCTCCTTCTTACATCAACATGTGTCCCCTCTTCTTCATGTCTCTTCTTCATCAACATGTGTCCCCTCTTCTTCATGTCTCTTCTACATCAACATGTGTCCCCTCTTCTTCATGTCTCTTCTCCATCACCATGTGCCCCTCTTCTTCACTGTCTCTTCTCATCAACATGTGTCCCCTCTTCTTCATGTCTCTTTACTCATCAACATGGTCCCCTCTTTCTTCATGTCTCTTCTTCATCAACATGTGTCCCCTCTTCTTCAATGTCTCTTCTACATCAACATGTGTCCCCTCTTCTTCATGTCTCTTCTTCATCAACATGTGTCCCCTCTTCCTTCATGTCTCTTCTTCATCAACATGTGTCCCCTTTCTTCATGTCTCTTCTTACATCAACATGTGTCCCCTCTTCCTCATGTCTCTTCTTCATCAACATGTGTCCCCTCTTCCTTCATGTCTCTTCTTCATCAACATGTGTCCCCCTTCCTCATGTCTCTTCTTCATCAACAGTGTCCCCTCTTCCTCATGTCTCTCTCTTCATCAAACATGTGTCCCCTCTTCTTCATGTCTCTTCTCATCAAACATGTGTCCCCTCTTCTTCATGTCTCTTCTTCATCAACATGTGTCCCCTCTTCTTCATGTCTCTTCTTCATCAACATGTGTCCCCTCTTCTTCATGTCTCTTCTTCATTCAACATTGTGTCCCCCTCTTCTTCATGTCTCTTCTTACATCAACATGTGTCCCTCTTCCTCATGTCTCTTCTTCATCAACCATGTGTCCCACTCTTCTTCATGTCTTCTTCTTCATCACATGTGTCCCCTCTTCTTCATGTCTCTTCTTCATCAACATGTGTCCCTCTTCTTCATGTCTCTTCTTCATCAACATGTGTCCCCCTCTTCTTCATGTCTCTTCTTTCATCAACATGTGTCCCCTCTTCTCATGTCTCTTCTACATCAACACTGTGTCCCCTCTTCTTCATGTCTCTTCATCCCAACATGTGTCCCCCTCTTCTTCATGTCTCTTCTTCATCAACATGTGTCCCCTCTTCTCATGTCTCTCTTCAATCACCATTGTGTCCCCCTCTTCTCATGTCTCTTCTTCAATCAACATGTGTCCCCCTCTTCTTCATGTCTCTCTCTCATCAACATGTGTCCCCTCTTCTTCATGTCTCTTCTTCCATCAACATGTGTCCCCCTCTTCTTCATGTCTCTTCTTCATCAACCATGTGTCACCCTCCCTCTTCTTCATGTCTCTTCTTCATCAACATGTGTTCCCCTCTTCTTCATGTCTCTTCTTCATCAACATGTGTTCCCCTCTTCCTCATGTCTCTTTTTCCTACATCAACATGTGTCCCTCTTCTTCATGTCTCTTCTTCATCAACATGTGTTCCCCTTCTTCCTCTATGTCTCTTCTTCATCAACATGTGTCCCCTCTTCTTCATGTCTCTCTTCATCAACATGTGTCCCCTCTTCTTCATGTCTCTTCTACATCAACATGTGTCCCCTCTTCTCATGTCTCTTCTTCATCAACATGTGTCCCCTCTTCTTCATGTCTCTTCTCATCAACATGTGTCCCCTCTTCTTCATGTCTCTTCTTCATCAACATGTGTCCCCTCTTCTTCATGTCTCTTCTTCATCAACATGTGTCCCCTCTTCTTCATGTCTCTTCTTCATCAACATGTGTCCCCTCTTCTTCATGTCTCTTCTTCATCAACATGTGTCCCCTCTTCTTCATGTCTCTTCTTCATCAACATGTGTCCCCTCTTCTTCATGTCTCTTCTTCATCAACATGTGTCCCCCTCTTCTTCATGTCTCTTCTACATCAACATGGTGTCCCCTCTTCTTCATGTCTTCTCTCATCAACATGTGTCCCCTCTTCTTCATGTCTCTTCTCCATCAACATGTGTCCCCTCTTCTTCATGTCTCTTCTCAATCAACATGTGTCCCCTCTTCTTCATGTCTCTTCTCATCAACATGTGTCCCCTCTTCTTCATGTCTCTTCTTCATCAACATGTGTCCCCTCTTCTTCATGTCTCTTCTTCCATCAACATGTGTCCCCCTCTTCTTCATGTCTCTTTCTTCATCAACATGTGTCCCCTCTTCTTCATGTCTCTTCTTCATCAACATGTGTTCCCTCTTCTTCATGTCTCTTCTTCATCAACATGTGTCCCCTCTTCTTCATGTCTCTTCTACATCAACATGTGTCCCCTCTTCTTCATGTCTCTTCTTCATCAACATGTGTCCCCTCTTCTTCATGTCTCTTCTTCATCAACATGTGTCCCCTCTTCTTCATGTCTCTTCTACATCAACATGTGTCCCCTCTTCTTCATGTCTCTTCTTCATCAACATGTGTCCCCTCTTCTTCATGTCTCTTCTACATCAACATGTGTCCCCTCTTCTTCATGTCTCTTCTTCATCAACATGTGTCCCCTCTTCTTCATGTCTCTTCTTCATCAACATGTGTCCCCTCTGTGGAAAGAGACTCTGAAAGTTTCAGGAACAAAGATTCTCTCTCTTTTTGATCCATTTCTATAAAAACCTGTCTGAAAATGAGCTGATCAGATTTTGGCCACTTGATGATGTCATAACGATGTTTTGTCTTGTGTAACCATTAGCCAATCAGCAACCAAGGTAACCCCCCCCCCCCCCCCCTTATCACCTGAATCTCCTCCTAGAGCTCCATTGAGTTCTTTGTAACCAAATCTCTCTCAGAGGGGCGTGGGGAGGGGCTCCTTATTTTCATCTAAAGTAACAGACAGAGAATCAGCACTTTGGAAACAGGGCTGAAACAGAGGGGATTATGGGTAATGCTGCAATGATCTGTTTGGTGTTTCAGCCAATCAGAGACAGGCTCTGGATATATCTGAGACCTGTGATATATTGATGAAGAACAGTATAATAGACCTTTAAACAAAGTTACAAGGGTGGGTTGAGAGAATGGAGACAAGCGATGGCCAGATGTTTGGCCGGATGTAAGTAGACTTAGCCATGATTAGATATGGAGTTGAGGCGTGGCCATGCTCCTGTCACTAAGATAACAAATTAACTTCATTTATTTGAATTGAAACAACACATTTATTTTACATTTGAGTCAATAAACTAAAGGTCTTGTAATGTGTAGCCAGGAGATCATATCTGCTTCTTCATGGACATTACATCACATTCACTTTTACTCTCTGCTGGTACATATTAATAATAACACATTTGATTTATACAGGGCTTTTCCTGGTGCTCAAAGCGCTTAATGTTACATAACAGTGTATTATATCTAACAGTGAGTGAGCAGCTTCTCCACAGAGCAGGGTTTGTATGTCTGTCAGATCAACATGCAGTAAGGGCAGAGCGCCATCTACAGGCAGTGACTGGTCATTACAATGGGACTGTGGCTCTATTCTGCCGGGATGAGGTCCTCTGTCTTTTCCTTACAATCTCCAGGGCCCAGTAGTTCAAAACGTTTTATCCCTATCTGGTCGGATCAGATTTGGATTTTGGGTAGTTCAAAACCAAAAAACAGGATTAGGATCACTTTGATATCCGATCAGATCAGGAAATGAAATCCAAGCTTTAATCTGGATCAAATCTTCAAAACGGGTAGTTCAAACAGGATTTGGATCAATTTGATCCCAAAAAACTGGATTATCTTGATCCCACCAGAGGGGTGGGTTTCCAGTGGATTACCAGAGCAAAATGTACTGAACAATTTATTTAAAAATATGTTTCAATATAAATAAGATGGTAAAATTTGTTAACTGATATAATCAACACAGTCTCACGGCATTTCGTGTTATAGTCACGAAATTAATCTATTGATTCGTGTTCACCAACACGATTTCGCCATTTTTTCCGTGTCACACAGAACGATTTTAAAAGCAATGTAAATAATAAGAAATTAGAAGGAAAAAGACGTTTAAAAAAATACAGATTTAAGTATTCTGACACAGAACGATTTTAGAAGCAATGTATTGCTATTGGTAGTATGTTTCGTGCCTGCACCAAATAATAACAAATTAGAAGGAAAAAAAGATGACATAAAATACAGATGTCAGTATTCTGAGGCTCTGAGCCATTTCTTTTCCTCACTGACGGCAAAAAAACTCAGACATTATACAATTTAAAATAAAAGGGATAGGGTTAGGCTTAGGGTAAGATATTGAGTAAGAACATGTTTTTATGAACCACACAGCTTCCGGTCTTCCAAGACCCGACCGGACAAAAAGACGTGTTGCAGGCACGAAACATACTACCAATAGAAATACATTGCATTTAAAATCGTTCTGTGTGACATGAAAAAAATGTGAAAATCGTGTTGGTGAACACGAATCAATAGATTAAATTAATTTCGTGACTAATAACACGAAATGCCGTGAGACTGGGTTGATATAATACACATGGTTAGCCTTCATGACAAATACATTTTATTTTTCATTGTTTGGTCACGTTTGTGGTTAGCTATTTAGCTGGTGGTGATTAACTATTTAAATAGCAATCGTTTTCTATCTATCTACCTAGTTAGCTTACATTATCTAACAAGCTAGCTAGTGAATGTTAGCTATCTAGCTAGCAGTTCCTCACAGCTCCAAACATCAACGTAATACCTCTAATATATGTTTTTGGGATAAAGAAATCACATATTCCTAACCCTAACCCTCACCTGGAAAACTGTTATAACTTAATGACAGTTTATTGAAAAGCTTTAAAACATTTTCCTTGGCAAGTAAAGGTTGATAAAGCTGGCTAAGCTATGCTAAGTAATAGTAATAACGCTCTAACTACTAATTTAGTAACTAGGGTAACATATGAATTAGATTAAATGAATAGGAAATCATGCAATATTTAAAACACAAGTTAAACACACTTTGATCAGCAGAGGGCGATGAAGCTTCATAAAATAAATCCTGCTGTTGGTTCAGAACACATTACATTAAGAAATAACCTCCTGACGAGGAGGAACAATACAAACTGAACACCATGATCAGAAATACTTTGTCCGATCATCTCACAGTTCTTAATCTAACCTAAATATATGTCAAACTAAATAGCAAGAACATCAAAAAAACATTAAAAAGCTCAAATCATCCTCAACCTGCTCTGATCCACTGTCACACACACCTTCTGTGGAATTATCTTCACGTTGTGCACAGTGGTAATGTATGGAAACATCCGCTCAGTGAAAGTGTGTGTGAAGGTGTGTATGTGTGTGTTAGTGTCAATATCAGAGAACGACAACTTTCCTCTGTTCCAGTCCAGATCCACTCTGACCCTCTGGAGCTCCTTCAGGCTGAGAGTTTCTGGACCTGATGGTGACCGTGCTGCGTATTTACCGCCATGTAAACCAATAATCCATAATCCAGACCGTATGTCTCCCTTCCTCTGGACAGACTCTGCTAACACACCCAGAAACCAGCATGTTCTGTTTGTAACCTGGACCTCCCAGCTGTGAGTCCCTGAGTTAAAGCCCTCAGAGCCCAGGACAGAGATGTAATTATCAAACCTCTCTGGATTATCAGGAAGTTTCTTTCTCCCTCCTGCTCCTCTCAAACTGGTCAGATCTGCAGACAGGAAGAGTTCTGGATCAGCAGTGTTTGGGTCCAGGATGAGAGGAGAGTAGGACACCATGTCCTTCATCCTGCTCCAGATGTTGAAGCTGAGGTTGCCCAGGTGTTTGGCCTGGTCTATCAGAGCTCCTGAGGGCAGCTGTGGATCCTCCAGCAGGGGGCGCTGCAGCCTCTCCACTGCAGCCTTGTAGTTGAGCAGGAAGGAGACGTCTTCAGCTCTCAGCTCCTCCTCTGTGGCTCTGACTGTGAGTGAAAGAGCTGCTATCTCTCTGCTCACAGCCTCCATCTTCTCCTCCATCATCCTCCTCTTCTGCTCCTCTTCCTCCCTCAGTGCAGCCATCCTGACCTCCTCTTCCTCTTCTAGAAACTGGTGAAGCTTCTTAAACTGCTCCTTAATCTGCGTCTCTATTACCCCTTTCACACCGGCGCTTTTCCAGCTCCTGCTGAGAGCTAGAGCCTGAAAAGCGCCGGTTTTTCCTGTTCACACGCAGCGGCGGCGCGTCATAGCTCCGGAATGCGGTTCACTTCCAGCTCCAAAAAATTGTCGGTCCAGAGGCAAGAGCTTCGGAGCTATGACGCGGCGTCGCTTACGTCTCTTACGTCGAGGCGTGCAGGAAACCTTACTTTGACCATCCGTTCGCTGTTATTGATCATTGTGGAGATACATGGGCTGTACAGGTTGTCATGTCCGACTATCACAAGTAGAATCATAATGAAAAATACGCCGGTAAAATGTGCCTGTAGAAAACGGCTTAGCAAGTAGTCAGTTTAGCTTCGGTTGCTATGCTAACATCACCCATGTTATACCAGAGAAACTTTCATAACAGCGTTGTGATGCCAAACAGCGTCAATTCAGACTGACACACATTCACTTAAGGGGAACTGGGGATATGTATCAGCTGCTTGTGTGACAGTCAGACAGTGAATACTTTAGAGCCGTGTGAGCTAACCCGGAGCTAACGGGAGAATAAACTCCCGTGGAAGAGCAGCCAGCACTGCAGCGGTCGCTAAATGAAACACATTAATAAACAATGAACCACGGCACTCTGGAGAAAAGTATAAGGTTGGAGAAGTCGTTATTTAATTTAATCTGGCTTCGTATGATTAAAAGCAACACGACCCGATGCAGTCCCCGGCCCGTTGTTGTTGTGGGAGAAAATCAGCGACGTAAACTGTGACGTCATGACGCAGCAGCGGCAGCTGGGCGGTGTGAACAGAGCGGGAGCTGAAAAGGGAAACGGGAGCTGAACCAGAAAAGCTCTCGCGAGGAGCAAGAAAGTGAAAAGCGCCGGTGTGAAAGCCGCATATGTGTTGAGCCTGGAGCTTCAGGTGTCCTGCTGTGAGATCAAAATCCACTTTAACTTCTTCAAAGAGCTTCAGTTTCTCCTGAAAGGGCTGCAGAGCTTTCTGGAGCTCCTCTCTGAGATCCTGAGCAGCTTCATCGATGGGTATGAAACTGTGGTTGGTGTGTGTTCTTGAATCTCTGCAGACGAGACACACTGGCTGCTGATGGTCCAGACAGAAGAGTCTGAGTTTCTCAGAGTGCAGACTGCAGAGAGCCTCTGGAGGTCTCTGACCTCTCTCCAGTAAGAAGGCCTCACTCAGGTTCTTCAACACCAAGTTACAAGGGGGATTTCTTCCTGAAGATTCTGTCTTACAGACTGGACACTCTCGTGATGGTCTCTCTCTCCACCAGGTCTGCAGACAGGCTTTGCAGAAGCTGTGGCTACAGGACAGAACAACAGGATCTCTAAAGACGTCCTGACAGACCGGACAGCAGAGATCTTCCTCTAACCTGGAAGCCATGTTGTCTCTGAGTGAAGCTGAAACACAGCAGACAGGAAGTACAGTCAGTCATGGCTCCCCTCCCCTTCCTCTACTGACTTCACTGAAATTCATTTTGAGTGTTGTTTGGAGACTCACCTTCAGCGGGGGGGAGGGTCCGCAGGGTGAAGCAGCAGTGTTGTAGTTTCCACTTTTCTCTCCTGTAGCTGAACTCAGAGGAAGTTGTTAGTTTGGTCTGAAGGTGAATCTGATCGTCTGATTCTCTGCAGTGAGGGAGAAGAACAAACTGTTTCCTGGTTTCACTTCTCAGTGAGTCAGTGAGGGAGAAGAACAAACTGTTTCCTGGTTTCACTTCTCAGTGAGTCAGTGAGGGAGAAGAACAAACTGTTTCCTGGTTTCACTTCGAACTCTGTCTCCTCTCGTGTAACTCAGGGAGTGTCTCAGTGCAAAGTGCTGATTTATTGCTGGATTTAAAGACTGAAAGTGTGCAGCAGACTTTTGCAACAGTTGTATTCAAAGGTTGTTTGAACAAATGTTGTATGTGTTAACACTTGTAAAATCCCCAAAGTATTGTGGGATTGGGAGACCCTGGAACACTAAGGAAACCGGGAATATCGTTGCAGAGAAGTATGAACTGTAGGAGTGTCGCATCAAATGGAATAATGTATGTAAGAGGTACAATTGAATATTATAGGTACAGCGTGTTGTAAAATAGTATCTGAAAGGGTATGGAAGTGTACCATAGAGTATTGTATAAACGGTAACGGGTAACACTGTATAAAAAGGCAGGTTACCATTAATTATTGTGTATAAGTACAGAATGTGTTTAAATTGTCTACAGGTTTATGATAGATGGTCAAAGTTAACCTGTTAAGCACCAAGCCTGTTTTTCATGTTTCAGGCTCGAAAATGACATGCCCAAAACAAATGACTACAACTTAACTTCTAAAAGGGTTATATGAATAATTTCTTATATCAAAGCAAGGTTACATCTGTGAGTTGGATGTAGAAGTGTCAGAATCAATATAAATGTTTTTTATTTTAAAGAAAATTCAGATTTTACATAGTAAAAAACTGTAAATTATAGTGTCCGTCCAAAAATTATCTTTTACAGATAGTGAAAACTACCCTTGGATGATGGGTTAGTAGACTAAAAGCTTTAGGAATCCAAAGTACAACATATAATAAGTACCCTGTATCAAGATTGATGCAAAACAAGTGACATTTGACCTTTTTAGAGAGGTTTAGCCAAAACCACCCCACCTCTGAGGTGATTTGGGTGAAAATGTTTTTTTTTCCATATCTCTGGCCCCCCTTGGTCGATGTTGATGGTTGACACCTCTTTCTGACGGTTAGAGCCAATAGAATCGAAGGGGGAGGCTCACACACACACACGTTGTGAAGAGAAAAGGTGGGGGCTGCGCGCATGTAAATGTAAAGCAGAGTGAAGCGATCTCTCGCTCTGGCATTTGGAAACGAAAAAGCAGTTTTATTGCTTATGGATTATCAGAAATAATTTCAAAGAGGACACAGACACATTGGATGAAGCCATGGATTAACTGCAGCATCGTTTTTTTATCGTTTTAATGCCATTGAAGACCACTTTTGACCAAGGTAAGCCATGTTAGCGTTTCTAGCTACCTAGCTCCACATGTTGTGATGTACGCTTTCGTTTATAGCGTCGCAAATGTTTGAGGTATTTTACACAGATTCTGTGTCTCCAGGACACCCAAAACGAGTGGTTGGCTGTGCATCTAGGATAAGTAATAAGGGAGTTATTGTGAGTTTAGGTGCCGTTTTAGGTTACATTTTTTCGCTCGTGGCTAATTCAGAGGCTGAGTGTTAGCATGGTGTTTTTTTTTTGGAATTTTCTTTTTAAAAGATCAGTTAGCTGAGTTTCTCCCCGTTACATGGATATAAAACATTCATAGTTTATTAAATATTAAGATTCCTTAGACGTTGTTTCCTGCAAATGACGTGTTTATCCTCCCGGTACCGGGGGGGGCGGTGCGTAACAGGTTAAAGAGCTGAGTCTTGTCAGCATCTTTGACCTCAAATTGCCCCAACTGTCTCTTTATTGGCTGTGGCTCTGTGGGAATTGTAGTGCTACTTCTTATATGGACTACAGAGGTCACCACTAGATGGCAATATTCTTTTGACTATACACACACACACACACACACACACACACACACACACACACACACACACACACACACACACACACACACACACACACACACACACACACACACACACTTTATGGTTTGTGGCTCCTGGCCTTTAGGACTTCCTCATAGATGAAGTTGCAGAATGTCACTTCTCTTATCTAATCTCTTTGGTATCACGGGACCTTTCTAAATGTCATTTCAGATATGAGTGTGTGTGCATACCGGCCGAAACACACATAAGAAAGTGGGTCTTTCCCTATCATGGTAGAGTGGTAATTCCCTTTATTGTAACCTTTGTAAACTTTCCTTTTAGCTTTGACCATGTAGTCGGTGCAATCTGTGGTGTGCATTTTACAATAAAATACCCCCCATAAAAAATCTAAAAACACACAAAAGACAACACAAGATTAGTGAATGTAAAACATACAATAGCAACCCAACAATACCAGGGGAAACAATATGAAAGGAGACCTCGAAGAGTTTAATATTATGTGACAGTAGTTTCCCCTGCTTCTGCTTGATTTTTCTAACTTACATTGTGGAAGAGACGTCTTCAAGTCAGGGAATATATTTGTTTTGAGGTAAATCAACTTCCCAATACTAACACTCTAATAGCCCTTATTTAAATCGTTAGATCCTCAAAGTTGAAAAATGCGCTAATAGAGGAATCCATAGTCCATTACATAGCGACTATATGGGGGCAAAAGTCATTTTTGTGCATTTTATTTTCTTGATGCCATATCATACCATAGTTTCTTATCTAGTTTCCAAAAGATATAATCACCAGGTCTCCCATCCCCGTGCTGATGACGATGACCGTAACTTTTATTTTCATAAACAATGTACGCTAGAGGGGGTTCGACCAGAAAGGGTTTTAAGCTTCTTCTACTTGCCCCTTTGGAACATGACGGAAACTATTTGAACATTTTTTAATTTTTGTTATAATTATAATTATGAGTCGTGGACTTCGAGTCGTGGCTGAACCTGTCTCTGCGGTCCTGCCTGACTCTCATCATACTACTTCCCCGATGGCTCCCACAGGATTGTTGACATCCTCGTGGATTCATCTTCTTCTTATAGACACATGCATTATAAGGCATCTGGACTACCTGTGCTGTAAATGTATTATCTTTTCAATTTACACACGGCATCTATTGCAGTCTGTCCGTCCTGAGAGAGGGATCTGTTGCTCTCCCTGAGGTTTATAACATTGTTCCCATTAACTGAGGGGTTTCTCTTGAAGTGTTTCCTTGTCCGATGTGAGGGTCCGAGGACAGAGGGGGTCGTATTGTCACTGATATTCTGTACAAACTGTGAAGACTGAGACACATGTAACATTTGTGATATTGGGCTATATAAATAAACATTGATTGATTATTGTTATTGTTTTTTTTGTTTCTAACATGTTCAATACATTGACTAATAATTTTTTTTTTTTTTTAAAAAGCCCTCAAAACCCACCTCTTCAAACTTCTGTCAAACAACAAAACGAAAGCGTCTGGACCGCAGTTTGGATCTGGAAATGTGGAGAAACGCCAGCGAATACATGATGATTTCTATAAATAGTTATCACCGCAATAAACCGTATTTAATTTTGTCATTAAAGGTAGGGTAGGTAAGTTTGAGAAACCGGCTCGAGATACACTTGTTGTTATATTCCATGGAATGCTCTTAACATCCCGATAGCAATGAATATCTGAAGTGCTTTGACAACAAATCCATAAAAAATATCATCTGTGGAAGCTGTGGTACTGTAAAAAGCACGACCAATCATCTGAGCCGGCCCGGCTAAAATAACTGGATGGCCTACCTGCCTGTCAGCCTTCCATCTGTGCACAAACTTATCTCGTGCCCTCATTGGTCATGTGCGCGTTCGTGTGTGTTGGAGGAGGGGCTCTGTAAGGAAGTGGCACATTTTCTCCGGTTGTGTATTTTCAAATTCTAGCGCACTCGAGCTGGTTTCTCCAAAATGACCTACCACACCTTTAATGTACAGTATTTAATTTCATATGCTGTTCTTGTACATATCATATTCTATTTAAATGTATATAGACTTCTTTCACTATTTTGTATTTTACTATACTGTATATGTTGCATTGTTGGAGGACCTCAGGTCAGAAGAATTTCATTGCCACACCCGTATGGCACAATACAACTCAGTACGTTGTTGGTAATTGTTATACCCTTTCTTTAGTAGAATTGTATAAATTGGAAGGCTAACTAGGTAATCAGCTCGTCGGTGATTTGCAGCTCATGCGTGGTGAACTGCGTGTTAGCAAAGATGAGATCTCAGACTGGCTTACCTGTACGTCAATCAAGTGGCAAACGCCATAGTAAGGATGGATGGATGGATGGATGGAAGGATGGATGGATGGATGGATGGATGGAAGGAAGGATGGATGGAAGGATGGATGGATGGATGGATGGATGGATGGATGGATGGATGGAAGGATGGATGGAAGGATGGATGGATGGATGGATGGATGGATGGAAGGATGGATGGAAGGATGGATGGAAGGATGGATGGAAGGATGGATGGAAGGATGGATGGATGGATGGATGGATGGAAGGATGGAAGGATGGATGGATGGATAGATGGATGGATGGATGGATGGAAGGATGGATGGAAGGATGGATGGATGGATGGATGGATGGAAGGATGGATGGAAGGATGGATGGAAGGATGGATGGATGGATGGATGGATGGAAGGATGGAGGATGGATGGATGGATGGATGGATGGATGGAAGGATGGATGGATGGATGGAGGATGGATGGATGGAAGGATGGAGGAAGGATGGATGGAAGGATGGATGGATGGAAGGATGGATGGATGGATGGATGGAGGATGGATGGATGGAATGATGATGGATGGATGGATGGATGGATGGAAGGATGGATGGAAGGATGGATGG